ATAAAACACAACTTCAAGCATCTTCACAAAACCCATGTCACTTAGCCAGTAAGAACGGTCTAGTCACACCATTAGTGACTAGCTTTAAGATATATTTCACAAAAACAGGATTACAAAAGACACCTACAAGTTGAAATGATCAACTTTCAAAGAGAAGATAAATTTAAAAGAAAGAGTTATAGAATGCGTCTAGAAAAACTAGTTAAATGATTTTAGTATAAATATAATGCATCTAATTTGTAAAATAGTATACAAATAGTACACATAATTGATGATAGAAAACCAATTCATTGAAAATCAAAATACTGAAGCAATGTAGTTCAAATAAATTATCTTATCAACAAAGCGTTCTTAGTCAGATGATTAGGGACTTGTTATTTAATCAAAATTTCTTCAGTTCGTCTGGTTATCCGACTATTAGATGTTGACAGTAACATCAACAAAAAACGCGTGAACAATCTCAGTCAAAATGCAATCCGAAACCAGAGAACATTTGACACTATTGGACAATGGTCGAACTACATCACAAATTGATTGAAGCTGGAGTTACACCATTAAACGTTGACTCGGTGGTCCTAATGGTTGAAAGAAACTGAAATGTCCTAGGCTTGTGTTTTGTCCGAACGAAGAATAAATCAATGAAAACTGATAGAAATTATTGAAAGAGTATTATTATATATATTCATGTCGCACAATTATTGAGTAACTAGATCGGATATATTTATATTCCTTTTACGTTAGCTTTCATTTGACCTATCAGTTACTGTTATACAGTTTACCATTCTTAATTTATTCCCGATCGATCAGTTACAGTCTCCTATACTCACAGTCACCTTCGGCTTGATATACCATAATTGTTATCTTCTATTTTATGGTATGATGCGGTCCGGTCTGCCACTATATAAACCACGTGTGTCTGGAATATACGTTTCACATAGTGGAGACTGACATTTGTGTTCTGGACTGAACAGACTGGGTTAGGCGAGAAACTACAATACAGAGCACCAATAAGGAATCAGAGTTGACTCAAGGCCGCTAGTGTTGTTCTGATGCATAACTGGTTTAGCACAGTGACAAGGTGTTAGAAGATACTATTCTGATTAACAATTTTGTCACATGAGATTTCACAGACCATAGGGTATAACGACTCGATCTTCAGTTGGGTAGTAGAGAGGCAAAAATGAGTCCCCAGATGCTAGGACGAAGCAGTAGTCCAGTGCTCTGTGATTCCCAATGTTTTCCCAACTGAATTCGGTCCGTTGCAAATATAGACTATAAATTCAATTCAGTCTCTATAAAATTTCTTGAACCAAACTATGCAATAAGGAAAGTGATGTTTTTAAGATGAGAAAATAGGAAAGGGTAGTTCACAGATAGTTCGAAATATTTGAGATTTCAGCAACAAAATTGTAGAAAAATAAGAGAGGTAGTTATGTTTGCAATACTTACAACAATCACTTAACTCACTTGTTCGACTAACAAACTTGTGACTTTGAGGGATTAAAACACTGATTACGTGGAATGTATGGGAACCATAAGACAATAATTCCAGTATTTTTATCATTGTACACACTAAGTAGTTACGTGTTATAAAGGTGTCTAATCTCATGTGTTGTAAAAATGTGACCCATTTATCCCGTATGTGCATTTCACGGGAAATGTATACTGATGACAATCGGAATAAAATTGTTGTCTCATATGAACGATAGTTTTAAGTAGGTGTGCCTTAACACACTAACCTCTTGAAAGATAACATAAATATTATCTTTTCTTATTTAATGGAGATGATAAACATTTCGTAAAACAATTTGTTATGAAGGAGTGGGATTATAGCGAGTGAGTTTGGATCTTCAAATTAATGGACAAAATCTACAGGAATGGAATGATAGAAATTCCCCGAGCTATGGTTATTCAGAAGATTGAACTGTTGACTTTAATAACAGAAATGAAATGATATCAAAGACAAGGCCATTAGACAGAATAATTGGTTTATTTTTGAAAAATCACATGCTTATATACAAAATACCAAACGCAAGAATAAAACGTGATTGAAAATAATGTAAAGCGATTAGAAGATACGGATTTCGTGATTTACTGAAGCCTCAATAAAATTAAGACTTGACTAGCAAACGTAATCTTTCCCTAATTTATTATCATACAAATATATATTATACCGGGAATTCATTAAAATTAAAAAATAAGACTGGTTAGATTCAGACACCAATTCCATAATGTTGGACCAAAGCATAGAAGCATATTAACTTCTTAGCATTTTAAATCATTAAAAGAACTACGAACAAACCTTGATATTGTCTTGTTGAAACCTGATAAAGGATCAGGCGTAGTTATCATGAATAAATGTCAATATAAAAGTAAGATGATATCCATCCTCAGTGATGAAACTAAATTTGTGCCTGATGTTGAATTTGGAGGTATCGGCAAACTAGAGGGAAGAGTAAATTCAAAACTAGAAAAATTGCTACACATGAATATTATTAATAAAGAGGAATTCAATTTTCTAAAACCTATGGGTTCCGAGTACCCTCATTTATATGGACTACCTAAAATTCATAAATCAAACATTTCTTTACGTCCAATTTTATCGATGTGCAGATCACCTACACATAACCTGGCTAAATGGTTAACAAAGTTATTGGACCCTATCCTAAGACATCTATGTAAGTATTCTCTAAAGGATTCTCTTGAACTGGTCGATCATTAAGGTGATATTAAAATCAAGGGAAAGACAATGCGTTTATTTGATGTGAATTCCTTGTTTACAAATATACCTTTAAAAATCTATTGATATATTATGTGATTGCATATCTGTAAACAATCTTCAATCACGTGTCCCTGTAAAAATTCTTAAGGATCTACTATTACTATGTACTGACAAAGTTCAGTTCACTTTTGAAGGTGAATACTTTCGTCAGATTGATGGGGTTGCTATGGGTAGTTCGCTAGGACCATTATTAGCAGACGTGTTCATTGCACATGTTGAAAATCAGGCTGATGACCTAATTGAAAACATGTCACTTTATAAGAGATATAAGGACGATATCTTAGTTGTTTGTGAAAGAAAAGAGGATATGTACTGTTTATTAAATAAATTCAACACTCTCCAAAACCATATCAGTCTCTCATGTGAAGAGGAGAAGAACGATCAGCTTCCCTTCCTAGATATACTTCTGAGTAGACGAGAAGATGACTCAGTCAAGCGATCCATTTTTAGAAAACCAACATGGACAGGTCGATACCTTAGTTATTATAGTTATTGCCCTGTGCAATACAAACGTCGTTCGATAAGGTGGTCTTTTCAACAGGCTTGATCTTATTTGTACAAGTGACGCCATTGATGATGATGTTAAGTTGCTAAACAAACCATTAATAGAAAATGGTTACCCTCTGAAATTCTTAAATAGATGGAAAGTCCATGGTACAATGAGACTTACTGTAGCCTCGGTGGAAAAAAAAGCCTGTCTACATCACTTTACCATTCAGAGGTGATTCAAATAGCCTGTTGTTGAAACAAAAACTTAAATCAGTCATCAAGAATTAATAGGTTTGTGAAGTTTTTTTATCTGAATTCCAATTCACCATTGCTATATAGATACCAATACGTTTCTAATAAATATTCACAATTGAAATAATAAAAACTAACACTGGTAAAATACGATGAAACACGTGCTCTTTTGTAATGATTTAACATATATAGCGTAAATATATATACTAGACTTCAGACATGTGATAGGAAAAACAGGTTAATGATTCCCTATGTATACCACTAAGATTTATGTCTACTCGGTTAAACTGATTTGATAATGATAAATTCGTGTAACATATGATAGTCTAAATTTACTTTAGAGTTAAGTACACTTTTTTTTATTCGCTACCGTGGTTACCTTCATAAATACAGTGTTTATGTCTAAGAAGCAGATGATTTTTTACCTAATCAGTTGATTGAATTTAAATATATTGTCCGCATCCATTTAACTGTTTATAAGTCTGTTGAAACGTATAAAGTAAGCAAACAAACAAATTTATCTGCATTTTAGTATTACATTATATGATTCTCCCAAATCATTGATCATTCATATAAATCGCGTAAATTTTCATCGTTCCACCCCCCACAATGTTTGGTCATTTCATACTATGAATTTGCACTCAAAATTAGATCCCAGGTATTTTGTCACTTTTGTAGGTGTTAGGGTAGGTTAAGTTTATGCCAAAACGTAAGTCCTAGTTTCTAATCCTAAGTTTATGCACAACAGATGTGACCTTAGCCAATCATAACCATATATTTCATTCCCTAATCCGTTTGGATTGACAATTATTTATTGATTTCAGAATAAAAAATACTATTGGCCAAAATTTCAGCCAATAAACACAAAGGAGAGTATATTGGGAATGAGGACTTTAGTAATTCACATTTGGACGCATGTGACTGGCCTTCACTTCTTGTCCTATAGTAACTTTATATCTGAGTTATATGTTAGTATGTTTTAGTACAAGATTTATGAAATTCAATATTTTGTCCTGGTTTGACAAATGATTAACTTATTTCGTCCTTGATTCGAACAACTTTTCCTTCAATTCATTTTCAAAACAGTTAATGTATCATAATAAAACTAAGAAAGGTGATTGGATTAAATAACTATTTGTGGATTAAAAATTTATTGAGACTGAAAACTGGCATGTTAATAAAATTTTCACGTGTGTCAAAATAAATAAGATTATTCATTTCTGTCAGTAAACTGTGATAAACAATGCAATTCGTTCAACAGCTGATTGAGGATATGATTTAAAAACTTCTGGTTTATCCAATTTTACCATATTTTGATATGTAAGATTTGTTCTGAAACTTGACAAATCAGTAGCTTCAAGGCAAATTAGTAATTTCTACTGATTAACGTTTTTCTTTTGATAACTGAAGCTAAAATCACTGGGGATTTTCAACTTATTTGTGCCCAGAACTTCACAAGACACCGTATGAAATAATTATGCCTCAGTATTCTGAAGATAAACCATCAGTGGGGGAATGTCGTGTGATGTTACCAGACAAATCAATTTCTCTGAATTGTAAAAATCAGAGTGCAATAAATAGCACATGTGACGTGCTATCTGAAGATAATGACAAATTAAGTCAACAGTTGCGAAATGAAGAAATTGAAATTTTTAGCCCTGAAACACATCCTGAATATTTTGTACCAGTTGCTCCCGATGGTGGTTGGTCATGGATTGTCTTACTGGCCACATTCCTTAATTTTTTTCTGATTGATGGCATCTTCTTTTCTGTTGGTCTTTTAATGGTTGAATGGGCTGATCATTTTGAAGCTTCAAAAACCAAGGTCTCATTAGTTAGTTCATTAATGTTGGGGTGTTATCAAATGATTGGTAAGTAATAAGAGTTTTTTTTTAATGTAACAATTTCTATCAATTATTTTATTGTATTGTTAAGAGTTTAGCACTAATCATGTTATATCGACAAAATTTAGTCAACAAATGACCGTAGTTATATCCAGCGTGATCATATAAAAATACTTGGCTTGTTAGTTCATATGATCAACTGAGGTTCAGAATCAATTGATTCCACTCTCTCATCTTCCAATAACTATTTTTTATCCTATATGTAAATTTCGTTTGAACTACCTTTGTTTGTTTATAAATAAGTCATAATCCCCCCAGGAATACATGTTTTCTCAGTTGGCTAGTCTTGTATTCTAAACTTAGTTTGGAGATCAGTTCTGTAGGTGAAGCATCTCTTCGATCACCTCGGTAGTTTCATCGAAATGATTGGAGATTCAAAGAAATCTGAGTAGTTCAAGTCAAAACTTTAAGGTTAATGCACATTTTCTCATTTATCAAGTTTGCTTAAATTATACAGCTTAGGATAGTCTTTCGTTTCAATCGTTACATTTGAGGTTATGAAACAAACTTTTCATCAGAATCTAGTAGTAATTTCACAAGAAATCAGTACATGATAACCAACTGAATTATCATTTGTTACTCATCAAAAACACAATTTTTCTCACTATAACTCTTTACACTGTTCAACAACCATAGGATTATTTAAAAGGGATGGAATCTCGGATTATAGATTTTATTTTATCCATCTCAATTTACCGTAAAAAATATAAAAGACGAAATAAGTACAAGAAAAATGAAGAGGATTTCAGAGATATTAATACTTTGCAACTTTCGCTTCTCAAATATATTATACAATTTATTAAAAAAGGCTTTGCGGTCCGTGGAAGTGAAGGATCATTGACTAGTTCGTGACTTATGTACTCAACTTTAACAAATTTATTAAATAAGTGACTAGTAATCTTCCTTGACTGAATAATAATACACCCAGTTAAATGTGGAAGGTAGTGGGTCTACCTTCTGAGGTTTATTTAGTTGGGATATGAAGATTGGTCTAATAAGCAACTAGTCTATTGGACCATCGCAGTTATTACACTTACAATATCAATCAGTCGTTACATCATGAAACAAGAAATTATGATTATTTCTATCATAAATCTTCTAATAAATTAGCACTGAAAAACGCTGTAACTGGATAACTTTTAATAGTCAGTTATTATTTTCTTACAGGTCCTTTTGCCGCAGCACTAACAAACAAATTTGGTTGTCGAACAGTCGCTCTTTTTGGATGCGCTCTGGCATCTGTGTCGATTTTTATTAGCTCTTTAATGCCTACCGTAGATGCTTTAATCATTACTTTTGGAATATTAGTTGGTTAGTCTTATTACTAAAAAGTCTATTATTGCTTGATTCTTTTTGGTGAGAAGGAGCTTATAATCATGAATAATTAACTTATTAAATACAAGTTTATCTATCCAGCTTTGATGATGCTAAGCAACTGTTCGCGTGATGAGGTTTAATGATACCGGTTTGTCATCTAAACCAGAGGTGAGATGCTTGAATTTGTTTTCACCGCTGAATGACAGCCTCATCAAGATTGTTTGCGATTTCATGATACTGTACATTTGTTGCATAAATGTTTCAGTCTGTGCACAAAGTGTAAGAAAATTTATGAACTTTCTTTTTGAATAACGCAATACTTATTACTTGTCAAACGCGCAAGTGAAGTAAAACGAATTATTCATTATGGCAAGAAATAATTTCGATCATTTGTGAAAATACTTTTAGTGCATGTATACTGTAAGTTATGAGCGAACGAATTTGAAGCCAATAGAAACTATTAATCATATCGCGTCGATGGATTTACTGAAGTCTCCAAATATATGCTAATGTGCAATGCCGAACAACCCAGAAGTAGGTTTGAAGAATAACAGTTATCTTCAGACCAAGAGATAACATCAGTTTTAGGGGTTATTGAATGCTGAACTAAACAAGTTTAAATGGTTTTGACTTTATGGTTGCTATTACCGACATAATCATAATTTTTAGTTGAAGACCTTATATAACATGGCTGAAAGTCGGTCTAATTGCTTCAAATTTATTCATGTGTTTTGATTTCTTAAATCATAAGTACAGATGTTATGCTTTACTTTTCAATCTTTGATTATGTTTGTTATCCTAGAAATATTTTCTATGTTTTGTTTTCACCAAAGTATGTTTATTTTTTCTACTTTTCATCTCTCTGGTTTTCCCTCTCAATATTGGCTTGCCAATTTGAGGTTGATCCACTTTTGTAGTAAATGTCACATTGTATACAACTGGTTCATTGTGAGATCATCTGATAACTTTATACATAAACTTTTTATCCTACACATTAGTGTGAATATTATAAAACGTAACTGTTTCTGCTAGTGGCTGGTGAACATTGAAAAACATCAAGAACATATTCCTAAAGATCGATGATCTGTAGTTTGTAGATTTATCAGATAGGCGTGTAGCGTCCATTCTAGTTTACCTAAGAATTTGCAATTAATTGAAAATTTTACGTAAAATATCAACTTAGAATGATAATTGAACAATACAACTAAACAGTATTCCACATTAACTGAGAATTACAAGTTCATTACTTAGTAAAGTGTGCATACCGAAGTAGACTAATTTTTGAACTGTATAATATTAGAACAAGTTTATATATTCCTCTACTAAGAGATATATCCTAGCTATGCTATCATAGCGACTAAAATTGAAAAAACCCGTTATAATGTGACAGAGTGTATTGACATATTTACGAACAGGTTTCACTGAACGATAAATACGATTATTCTCCCCAGTATCTTATGTCTCATTACACCTCATGGATACGAAAAGTCAATACCCGAATTGTGAATACTACAGCTCATGATTGTTTCTCGTTATGCTCATGAAACACGTGAAAATATTAATCTTTCTGTCAATTTTGGGATGTATCTAATTCATTTATATCGTTTAGTCCCGTGTTCATTAATCCTCTTTGGTTTTCATATCGTTTGTAAATGAATATCTTCATTTAGTATTGTCCTTGTTAAATGATTTAAACTAGATACACTATACAGAATTTTGTATGTTTGTCTATGTACTTAACCTAGAACACATAGGAACTTTTCTAATGTTGGATACCAGTAGGTTTAATTGTTTATTTTAGTCATCTTATATTTATTTTTTTTGTAAATGTCAAAAGAGTTATAAAATGTATAATTAGAAAAAACCGAATACGTATCAGTTTGAACAACTAATTCATTACTTATTTTTTAAAATTCTTTTTCTATGGTGAAAGATCACTTTATTAAAATGATGTTTTAATTTTTTTCTCTTCAATAAAGGTTCTTCATTTGGATTAATTTATTTACCAGCACTAATTGCGGTTAGTTTCTATTTCAACAGAAAACGTGAATTGGCTAGTGGTATAGCTGTCGCTGGAACACCTTTCGGGGCTGTGATATTTGGACCTCTAGCAGGTTACTTAATTCAGGTGAGCCTTCACGTGAATCACTTAACACTAAGGCATAGTTTATTGCTAAAAATTTGTTTCATTAAACTATCTGTTCTCGCGGCAAATACGATGACCAATCACTTGACCTTAATATATCATTTTAACAGGCTCTCTAATGGGTTGGATAGATCAGATGCTGTTATTTTGTTTGCTTGTTGATGAGATCAGATGCATTTAGCGGGACTGAGCAGGTCACACGATCTACCAAGGTCGTATAGCGAATCAGTGCATGCGTGGGCGAGTCTTAGTGATTAACTAAATTATTTGTCTTGTCAAGGTCATTCTTAAATATCTGCTGTCTGGGTCAGTACAAATATATGATTTTTCAAGAATAACTTGTTAACCGAACACAATATCGCGAAGATGAAGCTGGTCAGCTTATAAATTATTTGTTGAAAGTGCATGGGTATCATTTATATTGACCAGTTAGGCACAAAGCTATCATTAAACAATAGTCATTTCAAAAAGAATAATTTTTTTAGTTTTTAAACTGTTTGTTTCTACTGTTAACTTTTATTCTATTCTATCATTATTAAAATCATCATTTCCATTTCATTTGACTTAGTTATTGGATTGTATAATTTTCATTTATATAAACTATTATTGTCTTTAGTCAAGTAGTTTTCTGTCTTCTTTAAAGCTCTTACTTGGAATGCTAACGTGCTTAAAAAAGATGAACCTAAAGTGATGTGAACTTATCATCAAAATATCATGTATGAAAGTTTACTTTTGATATTTTGGGAAATTCACTTTCTGGAACGTTAAAACTAACAATTCCTTTGTAGGTAATCACCTACAAATTTTTTCTGTTGTATCCACTACTTTAACTTGATGAAAAGTATCAGGTTATACGCCGTTATTTGTTTGTGGCATTCGTCTACGCTCCCATTGACTTCAGTTTAAATAAGTGAAGAGACCATATCTGCAGAGTCTAACAGTTTACAAGCCCTCAGGCTCCGATCAAACTATCGTACACAAGATTTTTAATGTTCAGTCAAGTAAACTAGTCATAGTAGGAATACATTTAGGTGGGACTTTCAGTATTCTAACCTAGGGGATATGTAATCATGACTTTTTAATGAACCTGTTAACTTACAATCACTTATTTCCAGTGGACTCTAAATTAAACCATGAAGACACTGCTGCAAAACTGGCAGCTAACGGTGTACGTACGGCAAATATATGGATACCTTAGCTTAATTGAACTAAAAGCATTACAGCTATAAGACTTCATTTAGCGCAATTCAAGAAATAAATTTCTAAGGACTTTTTTACAAATAGATAGCTAGGATCCTCATCTTGGAGTAGTCTTGAATGAACTGCGGCCTGGATTAATAATAAGAGTGGTCTTTTAGTAATCTGAACCAAAAGTTCGAGAAAAGGCATTTAATTTCAACAACTTCTATTATATTGATGATAAATATTTAAAAAGTCGTCTTGACAGATTTCGAATACTATAATGCACCAAAGATGTTAACGTTAGTTATTAAAATTCTCATAAGATGATAATGAGAAATATTGGCCAGTGAAAACAAATCAAATAGAAAGATTAGCGATGCTAGCTAATTCTTATTGAATTCTACTCCTGACTCACTGAGTGACTCTTTGTAACTGTGTTGAATATAGTATTATTTAGTGTTAATCTGGTTCTCTATTCTGGGTCGTGAATCGTGGATCTGATATAACGTAGCTAGTCTCATTGTTGTACTAATGTATTATCGTAGTATACCAGAGAGAGAGAAATATTTTAAACCATCGCCAAGGTCTTAAATTCAATAGTTATTCAAATATTGGACACAGATTGAGAACAAACCGAAAATATTTCATGAATGTCCCAGATCCAGCTGAGGATATGTCTACAGAATATTTACCTTCCGTCTCATCTTGAGACACAGATACTTACTAACTTTCAACTGTAGTCATATTACTTGTCTTGAAAGTTTAATTTATCTCTGTCGATAGATATTGTAGTTCCGAAGAAATCTATTAATCTACTGGACACTTTTGGGACAGTCGTTTTTAGGTCTGAGCTTAAGACATCTTCAACTCACTATACCGTGTTGTGTATAAATTGTAATTAGCAGAAATGTGAATTCATTGACTGTTTTTCTTTTGACTTTTATATTTATTGCAATCCTTCACTGTCAATTAGTTGTTTTTCCCCAAGTGGACTTCCCATCACTACACTTATCCGAAATGTAGCATCTTACGATAACATACACTTGTGCTATTTGCCTTAAACCACTCTTGTTGTTTACATACATGTCCAGTAACCTTACATGTAAAATGGTTTTTATTATAAACGTTTTTAGCCTATAATTTTATCAGCTATTACTGAACGATCAGTGACTGGATTGGAACATTTTCCAATATTATAACTAAAATTTGCGAATACTGAGATATTTATTCTACTATCTTACTCTTTTCCATTGTGATTTTTAAGTTCCTTACATTTTTAGATAGTATCACTGACAATATGTACAATCCTAAGTTGTTTCATTTCTTAATGCAAAAAATATATTCATTACAATATGCTTTTAGAAGTTCCAGAATTTGTTTTATGAGTTCATCCTTCTTCATATAATTGTCATCTATATGTACGAAAAAGTGATCTGATTACTTTTATTCTGTTCAAACTTTAAATGTAGACTGTGCTTTCTGTGTGTGTCTGAGTGCTTGTGTGTATTATATATTTCTGAATTTTGTGGATTGGTTGAAGTTAGACATTAACATCGTTGGATGTCTACTCAGAGGTCTAGAGTTGAAGTGTTCGCTCGCGAGACCGATAGATACTGGGTTCGAATCCCCCTGGGTGGGATCGTGAATGTGCACTGCTAAGAACTCCCACATTAGGACGAAACAGCCGTCCAGTGCTTCCAGGTTTTCCATGATGGTCTAGCTTCATTTGACTCATGATCTCAACGGTTAAACGAATAGTAAATTTGTTTAAATTTATCACTCAACAATTGTATTTTTAAATGAAAAGAATTGCTTTCCTAATATTATTGCACAATTTGTTTTTTAATGACTCTTAATATCAAGAAAATAGAGGTTCAACTTACATATCTATCACATTAGAAAGTTTTAAATGAATTCAAACACTATTCCCATAACAGATTAGTGCATTTACGAATGAATAAGATTATAAGGAATGAATAAAATTCGAATAAAATCAACTTCTACATCGTAAATCATTTGATATTAAAAGAAAAAAATGTGACAAATTTAGTTAATTTACTTTCATGTTACATCAATTTATAGATCTATCTAGTTTGCTTGTAATTCATCATTGATAAATTTCTCATGATAATTTCACATTAGAACTTGCAATATTTAATAAACATCTATGATTGGAGAGGGTTTTATGGAGATTATAGTAATGTAATAGTTGAATTCATCATCATCACCATGGAAAACTTTCATTCCTAGTATTGGACTCCTCAGTAGTGCGTACCAACGATTCCGCCTCGCAAGATTCGAACCCAGTACCTATCAATCTCGCACACAACCGCTTAACCTCTAAACCTCTACATCTATGAATTCATGAAAATCAACTAATTCAGTGTAACCTTACAATTGGTATGAAACTATGATGATTTTGTTTGGAAATATTATATTTTCTTTTCTTTGTAGTATTTATCGAACAGATTCAATTTAATTAAGTATAATCAATTAATTTATAAAAAGAACCAGACTTATTCTCGTTGTATAATACTATATTTGGGTATGATGTTCTACTGATCAAAATATTTTACAACTTATCTTCATTAGAGTTTTTGAGATTTTTGTCCATTTGTTATAAATTACTAGTTCGGAATTTTTGAAAATTGTGCTATTTTTATGTGCCAAATATATTATACATCTTAAAAACTGTTGTATTTTTTGTGAGTAGCTACTCCTTTTTAGTTTGTTGCTTCTCAGCATAACTTCGAACTCGGTGCTTGAGACAACCGTGGTACATGCACGGAGCTATTTAGTCACTGAGTTAATGTATTCAATGTTCCATGTTGTCAGCTACAGTTAATTTGGAATATAGTGCTTCAAAGCTCTTCAAAATTCCGGCTAGACTACCTTAGTAAATTACGATATACATTGATAGTTAAAATTTATCAGTTATGAATTTCCACTGACTTTCACTAGTTTTCACATATAACACTTTTGTTACTTCACTGACTGGATAAGATATAATAAAACATCCTAGTAATTTTTTCATATCTTTTATTTTCCTTCATCCCTTTTCGTGTTGCGTGTGCCTGAATACGGATTACCACGACGCCCAATGCTAACCGGTGTTAGGGATGATTGGAAGAAAGTTAGGGGCGGCCAAACCAAAACGTGGCATCAGTGCTTGAAGTCACTAACTTCTGGTCTGAGCCATGTCGGTAGATACAGACTACCTGGTTGGGGTCCGCGTGACTATCGTAACCAATGGTTGGAGACTCTTGGTGACATGGCTCAAAATCGATCACAATGGCGTATGCGTATGCATACGATTAAAATCGCTTCATATCTTTCTACGTAATAATTCTTTCTTCCTGTAATATATCCTTATATGCAATCTTTCTTTTATATATTACCACCATTGAGTTAACTACTTCTATGAATTCGGTGTTCATCTTTCTGTGCTAATGCGGTATGGCAACTTGGACCGATGCATATATGTGCCTAGTCCTACCTTGTAGCTGACTGATTGACTTTCGTATACACTATTTGTTGTCTGATTGTATACTCACTACCGATTACGTAATCGTAATAGTTGTTATTTTAATTGTTAATATAGAGTTGTAGTGATTATTGAATTTCATTGAGATCATCAAATGATCCAAGTTAGACAATCATTGAAATAGTTACCTTAATACAAATATGTGTTATCAAAAATATACATCACCTTTTCTAGATTAACTTTATCACAGTAATATATTAGTGTTATTTTTATAGATGATTGTTTTAAATGTCTTGAATAATATTTAATTTTACCAAAGTGTTCATTGTTTTCCTCATTTATGTTTTTCTTTGTTTTTTAAAACAAATTAGTTATATGGATGGTCATGTACATTGATATTCTTCTCTGCATTTATACTTCATGGTATTATTCTATCATGTCTTTATCGTCCATTGAAACCGATGCATAAATTTGAAATGTTAGATTTATCTAAAGAGACTAATGAATCTATTGTTAATTTAGTTGATGAAATTCAAAGTAATTTAATGATAGCATCAAATACATTTATTAAATCAAATCAATTTATCAATTCATCAAATCGTATTGGTCAAACTTTGTATAAATTAGATGAAGGAAATGAAGAAAACGAACAACAACAACGAAAAAACAGTTTGAATATTGAAGCTGGTGAAAATTTAAAAAAGAAACAATCTATACATGAGAAGAAATTACATAAATTGTAAGTGTATTCTTTGAGAGAATTCTGTACAAAAATGTTAGTCGATATTTTGAAAAGTTTAAGGAGGCTACTCAAAGCCAAATTATTTTCAGTTACTTTGTATACTTAAAACATCTCGAATAGAAAATCTGGGAAGCCGGTGTAGTTGTGTACTTTATTGATTCATTTTTTTTCTTTCAAATCATTCATAATTTCAACATAACTCGTCACAAAATTAATCCATCATAATTATTTATAATGAAGTAACTTTAAAGTTAAATTTTCTCTCGATTTCATTTGGCATTCAAATATTTTGGATTTAAATAGTTAAGATTATGAGTTAATTAAAGCTAGACTACTATGGAAAACCTGGAAGCACTGGACGGTCGTTTCGTCCTGTTATTGAAACTTAAGAACTGGTTAAAAATTTGTCATCTTAAAAGTTTAGTACAGTAAATTTATTAAAAGACAGTGTTAAGTGCTTAGAGACATTGTAACCGGGTTGGAATGATATACAGAAACATCAAAGTCATTCAACCTAATGAAACATGACAGCATTCCAAAGTCTACGGGAATCGGAGGTAACTAAATACAAATGTAATAGGAATGATGAAATATCAATTCCTTATCGCGACATTTTCTGTTAGGAGATCCAATTATTATATCTCATGAATTCAAAATAGTCTAGAAGAATCAACATAAAATAATCAATAACAACGGCAAATATATTGACCAAAGCTAATAGTACAGGCAGATCAGGAGCTTAAAAATGGAACACCTGAGTAATTTCTTTGCAGTCTTGCAAAACAATATGGAATAGAAATTTCTAAAATCATAAATGTAAAGTTATATTTCTTTCAATTGTAATTTCAACAATCACAAATCATTTATTATACCTTTTTGTTCCACAAACTAATTCTTTTTTCCTGTATTATACCCTTATATGCAAATCCTTTTTATGTATTACTACCACTGAACTACTATGAATTTGGTATATATATATATATATATATATATATATATATATATTAAATGAAGTATAATTGAAAATCAATGGACAGTTGACAACCGATTCATCTTGATTTAGTATTTTTTTTAACAATCTGCATCTACAAAATTGAACTTCTAGGACTCAGTACAATATTTTTAGGTTTCTGAGTGTGAATATAATTTTTCATGTTTACAACATTAATCAATTTGCGATATGATATAACTGTAATGTATCGTTGTCTATGAGTTAGTGTTCGAATCCTGACGTGAATAATTTTATAGATCAAAGTTACTAATAAGAAAATCATAAAATTCACCTCAAGCTAGTCATTAGTATCCAGACAATTGTTGTAGTTTTGTGAAGATATATGACTTGATAAAGATCATTCTCATTTGAAACTGATTTAAATCTCCAGTAAGTTTGTGAATATCGGCGAGCCTTCAACTAGGATGAAATTATCATCACCTCTTCTTTGTTATTCAACGATGCTTTAGTTGACATTATTTTTTGATGAAAGTTTACTTCTGATATAAATATATATACTACTAATGATAAGTTTCTTTCAATGTATTGGCTATTAATCTTTGCCATATTATATCATCAATAAGAAATATGGAATGTCCATTTAATTATCAATTCAGTTTGATTTTGTATCATTCACTGAATGAAATTTTCGCACTGGGAAAAGGGCAGGTTTATTGTTATTGTCCTAAATTCAGTGTTTATTCGACAAACTAGTGTACTTCATTACTATTACATTACATTATCAATTATTGCTTTCTCTGTTAGATATCTATAACTTTCTTGCTGTCGACTCATACGTATATGCGAATATTTATCGTTTAATAAAAATTTTGTATTGGTATTAACTTTAATATCCTAAAACGAATGCGTATTTTATAAACCTTCCTGTATTTCTCTCTGATGTGTGAGCGAGAATGATAATGATTGGTTGTCTGCTTAGTCAGACATGTAGATAGTCCGACAAGTGTCAGATGAGTTATATATTCCCCTATCCTTGTTATTATTGTTATTCACTTGATTGTTCATTGTTGTTGGATTGTGTTTGGTTTTTGGTGTGGAAATATGTTTACGTTGTGGTCTCGCTAATCACGTGTTCTTGACCTGAGTTGTGTTGAAGTCCCATAGAATAGACACTGGGAGGGAATCTAGTATAGATATTCGTTTAAGGTAAATTAACGTCCCATACGTGTAAACGTGGAAACCTAACCGTTATAACATTAGACGAAGTAAAACTGAGCGTTATAACACTTTCTCCTATACTTGACTAATGTCATTTTATTCAATAAATTTTCGAATGTTTAGTTATGAATTTTTAAATCTAGTCTGTGTTGTTTTGATTAGTTAGGGTTACAGAAAAGTCATATGGAAATTTGTGTTAGTCAAGCCTGCATAACAATATGGATTGATATAATTAATGTATATAACTTTTTCATCACCTGACCATCTCCATCTGAAAGAACCAAATATGTTATTTCACTTGTATTGGTTGTTTGACTCTTCTCATCGATGTTCAGGATGCCATTTGACCAGTCTCTTTTAGCATAAGTGCATATTATTATTATTATTATTATTATTATTATTATTATTATTGTTATTATTATTATTAAACGTGTAACACCAATTAATAATCTTGCTAATCAGTGTATTCATTGTTTAAGTGACCTATGGTATACTTTGTAATATAAATTTTAAAGGTTTACCTCCATGAGGTAATGCAAATGTATAATTAATGCTAGTCAATGACTTCATTATTTCATCGTCGGATGATTTACTGATTTTTAATTCGTTCAATTTATTTCCTTATAATCCTGTCAAATGGAGCATCTTGAAAAAATACATCATCGCATGCTATGCTTCCAAATTCTATAATGTATAGGTATCAGTGTGAGTGATTCGTCCGTCTCAAACAAAGTAGTGGCTATCTGTACTCAGTAATTCAGTATATAACGTGTTAGCCATTTGAATAATTTTTTTATATTTGTAATTGATATGGGGAGTTATTACTTTTTTAAATGTTATGAATATTCTCTATCGAGGTATTGGAAGAGGTGATGTGTGATACAGGATACGTTGACACCTTGATGATAGGTGGGCTCATATTCATTATTAGTCTGAATGGGTAAAACAGTAAATCGTTACGAAGTTTGGCATTTGTTTTTAGGATTCACCACAATTCCAAGGTTTTCTGTGTAATTATATGAACAATATCATTTGATTTATGTACCCAGACTGAAATAAAGTAAGATTTCAAGTTGTATTACTAACTTTTTGTTTGTTCATACTTCAGGATTCATACAATATGGTGTTATAGAGACAACAATTTTCTATTTTGTCAATTATTAGTACTGTAACTATTCCATTCATTTGTACTGCATAAACATTTTTTCATCAAATACTGGTCATAATCACAATACTGTATTTTACACTAATCATAAAGTATTGACCGAGGTCATGCTTGTCTAGATCTTGGTACCAATCGAATCTTGTTGATCCAGTTGCATTATTTTCATCGGTTGAATTATTGTTGAACGCTAATCATAAAACTAAACGTAAGCTCAAGCTTTCCTCCTAATTTCTTCCAATTACCTTACTCGATGATTTATCATCATTTGAAAATAAGTTTTTTTTTAAAAATTGCATTTCAAAGAGTTTCAGTTCAGTTTTTACAAAGTTATAAATTAAGATCTTATCCCACTGTTTTATTTTGATTGTCATAATTATTCTCTTACTTCGTTTTTATACTTCAGGAATCCATGTGAAGGGGATGTACAGAAGTGTACAGATGAAAAGAAAGGTAATTACTGTTAATTTATTTTGTATTCATTGGAATTTGTTGTTATACATATAAATCTAAATTTAATAAACATGATTACCGGTTATCATGAATTAAAAACACACAACCTTAACAGATTTGATATGTAGAGTATTTCATTGTTAACTCAACCTTAACAGTGTTTAGTTCAAAAATATAATTTCAATAGTTAAAATCATGAGTCATGACTCATGATTTCAACTATTGATATTACTAAAATCTCCACAAAACCCCTTCTGATCAAAAATATAACTTTGAACATTGAAATAATTCGTTGAATTTTCAATCATATCAAACAAAATATATTTACGTGATATTAGTAATAGTTGCATGGAAATATCATTTATTAAAGGGTTATATGTGTAAATGATTATTTTATTAGTTTAAGTTATATAATAAGTGTGAACCGACGCATAATCGACACTATAGTTATAGATTTTGGCTTGTTTATTTAATTGAAATGTATTTATTCATGTTCCTTTTTAGTGTATGTCAGTTAAAATTATTGTATATGTTGAAAGTCATTATAATAGTATGAAATGTTTTCTTTGGTTCACGGTAATATAATATTTGTTGGACGTGTTTTTTATTACGTATTCCTATCACTTGTCCTCTGGATTTATAATTTGTTTTAGTGATGACTTATGCCTTAACAGCGGTCAATATATATGTTACCTACAGGGAAGAATATGCAAACTTTATTTTATATATATATATATATATATATAATATTTTGTGTATGTAGTGTTTACCCTTCGGTTGGGCTTCAATAATTAGAATTGCTAATTATTTCATTTCGTAATTCGCATGCGTGGGCGGATACAAACTTTCACATGACACTTATTCTTTATATTAGTGCAATAAATAAAAGAAAAATATGAGAGAAACTATGTTTAGATGTTAAACATAATTATTTACTTGGCTCAGATTTTGAGTTTAGAAATACTTATCTTAAAATAAGATGAAGGATGAGTAAACACTAATTGATTCTTCCCACTTGACGATGATACCACATTTCTAAATCTTTAATGTAAACAAAAGTCTGAATCTAACCAGTCTTATTTTTTAATTTTAATGAATTCCCGGTATAATATATATTTGTATGATAATAAATTAGGGAAGGATTACGTCTGCTAGTCAAGTCTTAATTTTATTGAGGCTTCAGTAAATCACGAAATCCGTATCTTCTAATCGCTTTACATTATTTTCAATCACGTTTTATTCTTGCGTTTGGTATTTTGTATATAAGCATGTGATTTTTCAAAAATAAACCAATTATTCTGTCTAATGGCCTTGTCTTTGATATCATTTCATTTCTGTTATTAAAGTCAACAGTTCAATCTTCTGAATAACCATAGCTCGGGGAATTTCTATCATTCCATTCCTGTAGATTTTGTCCATTAATTTGAAGATCCAAACTCACTCGCTATAATCCCACTCCTTCATAACAAATTGTTTTACGAAATGTTTATCATCTCCATTAAATAAGAAAAGATAATATTTATGTTATCTTTCAAGAGGTTAGTGTGTTAAGGCACACCTACTTAAAACTATCGTTCATATGAGACAACAATTTTATTCCGATTGTCATCAGTATACATTTCCCGTGAAATGCACATACGGGATAAATGGGTCACATTTTTACAACACATGAGATTAGACACCTTTATAACACGTAACTACTTAGTGTGTACAATGATAAAAATACTGGAATTATTGTCTTATGGTTCCCATACATTCCACGTAATCAGTGTTTTAATCCCTCAAAGTCACAAGTTTGTTAGTCGAACAAGTGAGTTAAGTGATTGTTGTAAGTATTGCAAACATAACTACCTCTCTTATTTTTCTACAATTTTGTTGCTGAAATCTCAAATATTTCGAACTATCTGTGAACTACCCTTTCCTATTTTCTCATCTTAAAAACATCACTTTCCTTATTGCATAGTTTGGTTCAAGAAATTTTATAGAGACTGAATTGAATTTATAGTCTATATTTGCAACGGACCGAATTCAGTTGGGAAAACATTGGGAATCACAGAGCACTGGACTACTGCTTCGTCCTAGCATCTGGGGACTCATTTTTGCCTCTCTACTACCCAACTGAAGATCGAGTCGTTATACCCTATGGTCTGTGAAATCTCATGTGACAAAATTGTTAATCAGAATAGTATCTTCTAACACCTTGTCACTGTGCTAAACCAGTTATGCATCAGAACAACACTAGCGGCCTTGAGTCAACTCTGATTCCTTATTGGTGCTCTGTATTGTAGTTTCTCGCCTAACCCAGTCTGTTCAGTCCAGAACACAAATGTCAGTCTCCACTATGTGAAACGTATATTCCAGACACACGTGGTTTATATAGTGGCAGACCGGACCGCATCATACCATAAAATAGAAGATAACAATTATGGTATATCAAGCCGAAGGTGACTGTGAGTATAGGAGACTGTAACTGATCGATCGGGAATAAATTAAGAATGGTAAACTGTATAACAGTAACTGATAGGTCAAATGAAAGCTAACGTAAAAGGAATATAAATATATCCGATCTAGTTACTCAATAATTGTGCGACATGAATATATATAATAATACTCTTTCAATAATTTCTATCAGTTTTCATTGATTTATTCTTCGTTCGGACAAAACACAAGCCTAGGACATTTCAGTTTCTTTCAACCATTAGGACCACCGAGTCAACGTTTAATGGTGTAACTCCAGCTTCAATCAATTTGTGATGTAGTTCGACCATTGTCCAATAGTGTCAAATGTTCTCTGGTTTCGGATTGCATTTTGACTGAGATTGTTCACGCGTTTTTTGTTGATGTTACTGTCAACATCTAATAGTCGGATAACCAGACGAACTGAAGAAATTTTGATTAAATAACAAGTCCCTAATCATCTGACTAAGAACGCTTTGTTGATAAGATAATTTATTTGAACTACATTGCTTCAGTATTTTGATTTTCAATGAATTGGTTTTCTATCATCAATTATGTGTACTATTTGTATACTATTTTACAAATTAGATGCATTATATTTATACTAAAATCATTTAACTAGTTTTTCTAGACGCATTCTATAACTCTTTCTTTTAAATTTATCTTCTCTTTGAAAGTTGATCATTTCAACTTGTAGGTGTCTTTTGTAATCCTGTTTTTGTGAAATATATCTTAAAGCTAGTCACTAATGGTGTGACTAGACCGTTCTTACTGGCTAAGTGACATGGGTTTTGTGAAGATGCTTGAAGTTGTGTTTTATTGTCGTTATATCGTAGATGATTGATTTTCCAAGTAATTTTATATTATTGATAATAAAATAAAAATGTAGAAACTTCGAATGTAACAGTATGAAAATCCGAACACTTGAAACAGTTGAGATAAAGTTAATCATGTAGGAAATGTAGAAAAACTTTAAAAAAAAAATTAAAATCATTCGAAACTTTTCATTGGTTATTAAATTTTATAACGTATCGACTATTTAGTCTAATTTTGAATTGTAATGTGAAAATTCTCTGAAATGTGGTTAATTTAGTGTTTTACAATCAGGATTAATTAGTTGATCCTATTAGATTTGGTTTACTTCAGAACTGTTAATGAAGTTGATTCGAGTGATTTATAACTTATGAGATTAAAAACGAATAATTGAAATTCCATGTTTTATTATGGTTGAAGCAGAATGTTGTGTACGCCGCGTAGCCATATTAAAGAAATTATCGACCATTGTATAAAGCAGAGAACTCTCACTGCCTTTTGAAATGAACAGAGGACTGTGTAATTACTAGTTATTTCAATTGAATCGAATTCATCACTATACATCAGCTTCCTTGACTATGAGAAAGCACTTGACAAGATGGATGGGAAGACGTTATGGAACCCTCTTTGATACTATGGTGTATCTGAGAAGATCATCAATATCACCCAGAATTCGTACGACAGACTACAGTGGAAAGTGTTGCATGGAGGACAGCTGACAGATACATTTCAAGTGAGGACCGGACAAGGTTGCCTACTTTAACGCTTTCCCTTTCATCCGGTGGTCGATTGGCTTATGAAGACCTCGACATGTGACGAGAAGCACGGAATAAAATGGACAGCTGGGAATCAATTAGGCGATTTTGACTTCGCGGATGACCTGACCCTCCTATCTCATACACACGAACAAATTCAGGTCAAGACAAACAATCTAGCAGTAGCCTCTGCATCAGTAGGTCTCAACATACACCTGGGAGAAAGCAAGATCCTCAAATGCAACACAGAGAACACCAACCCACTCACACTTGATGGAGAAACTCTGGAAGGTGTGTAATTTTTCACATATCTGGGTAGCATCATTGATGAATTTGGAGAACTACCACAATTGTCATCAAAATGTACAGGTATTTCTGGACAATTATCCATGTAAGATAATCAATGTCCGTTGACCGGATACCATGAGCAACAGCCTACTGTGGTAGTGAACAAACCAGCTTCCAGTTGAAATGGAAGTTAGGGAAAGACGCCGGAGTTGGGTGTAACATACATTGTGGTAATACTCAAACTGCATCACGAGGCAAGCGCTTACATGGAATCCTGAAGTTTAACGGAAAATACACAGGCTAAAGAACACATTGAGTTGGGAATTGTGAGCAGACACTAAAATAATTAATAGCAATTGGGAAAAAATTAGAAAGAGAGCATAGGACAGAGTTGGATGTAGAATTCTGGTCGGTGACCTATACTTCATGAGAGGTAACAGGCGTAAGTGAGTTGTGTCACTCAGTCACCTGGTAGTATTTTGTCATGGTTTTCAGTTAGTTTTTGTTTTCCAAATGACTTCAATTAGATAATCAAGCACCGGATATCAGAGTGCAATAGAATCTACTTTGTTTAAGAATCATCTGTACGTGTCTACAACTCACATTTCCAACTCTCATAGATGTTAGCTATAGTAAATGGACTAACTGGTAGTTGATATGTCTGAAACAAATGTTCAACTGGTTAGCTGATAACTAAACATACCTAGAACAATTTATATTCATTCTACATATAGCGATAAATTGTTTTCTTGTTACATTTAGAAGCAATGAGCGAAAATCCTAAATTATCAGAATTAACAACTGTTCATGGTCAAACAATATCAGAACAAGTCGATAAAAGTTTGGTTGACCCAAGTAGCTTAATTAACCCGTCATCATCATCATCAGCTGATCAACCTTCTTCCCTGGTACCCAATGCTATTAAATTACCTTCAGTTTCTAATGATCGTGCTATTTCCATACAGGAAAATGAATTATCGCCAGAATCTGTCGCTGAGAAACGGATAAATACATCGGATCAAAAGGTAAATTAACCCAGGTTTAATTAGTGTTTCAGTATTCAACCGATCAGGTTTTAATTGTTCAGACGACCTTGAGAGAGTCAAATAACCTAGAGCTACTTCTTTCTATTGCTTTTGTCATCGGGATAGTTGTAATATGAAGGAAGAATTCATAATACACAAAAACTGAGATTACAACGTAAATACTGTTTTTTACATGATTAAAGAATGTCTTGAAGTTGAACATTTGATAAAAAAGCTTATCGGTATGACTCTAAAGTATCTGCCTTAGGGAGACCCTATGTGGTAGTAAATGGTTTTCTAAGCAAATTCTACATCCATTTCAATAACCAAAGGATATTGGTGACTACAAAAATTCCAAAGAGAAGTTTTATATATATATATATATATATATATATATATATATATATATATATATATATATATATAACTTGTAAATTTTTTTGTGAACGGGCTGACAGAAATATCATGTGAACAGCAACAGTGGCTAAGTGAGTAATGCGGTTAATCACGATAGCCTTCCCACGTTTACATCTCATTTATAGGATGGTCTTGTGACATCATATGGTGTCTCCGACTTTACTATCAATATCATCTGTGAACTTCCTTTCACAAATTTTTTCTTTATGTTCATGAAGTTGATGGACACGCATTGAGTGATCGGGCTTTATTATAGAAAACGTATAAATTCGATTATGAAATACATGACTGCAAATATTCTCAGTTTCCTCCCTTTTTGTTATACTGATTCAATGTAAAACTAGTAATCTGGCTTATTATAAACTTTCATTAGTTATTCTGTTTTTCAACTAAAGTTTTTCTGGAACATCCTTATTTATTTAGGTATATGATTAGCAGATGAAATTATCAGTTCCAAAAATAATTGGAAATTACATTTGTAAAAATATAACAAAATCAATTAAAATAGAATTTGTCTAATTTTATTGATTATTACTTATTTGAAATAATAATTTCTATTGTTCAATTAAGAACTGATGTCTTAATTCTATTAGTAATTATAGATTTATGTATTCTTCTTTGAAATGTTATACTATAATATGAGAATAAGTCAGATATACTTTAATATGTGCTAAAATAAAAATAGATAGAGTTGGATCTGAACTGACATTCTGATGATTAAAAATTTATTATTTATTTATTTAAACACATAGATATTGGTACAAGGAGGCAGCGAATGCATATGCGCCACACAAATCTCAGTTGATTTGTTCACGGGCTGCGATACTGCCAGGGTGCCCAAACCGAAGCAGGTGGTTTTCTTAGGGGGCCACACCCCGAGCCTTCGGCCTAAAAGTCTGATCCACAAGGCAGTGGAGCATCGTAAGTAGAGATGCAGTCCCATGGTAGCCGGTGACCAACGATTGGTTCATACGCCATTTGTTCCCTTGGGATCCTGGAGCCTATGTGCACCATTGGTTTGGAGTCAGGTTTTCCAACTCCTTTAGGTGGATCCTCTGTGTCCACCGACCCGGTCAAAGCGCCGGACATTCGCTCTTTGTCCTCTCAATTTAGCAAACAACACCCCCACCATGAGGAGGCAGTGAGTAGAACTTCCTTGACAGAGTCTATATACGCGTGACCATGTGAGAGTATTTTGAGAGGGAGAGTTGACTCTCCTCACTCTTAGCTGTACCAGGGCCTAATCATTTTGCTCGACTTAATTTTTATGACAATTAAATTTTTTTTGAAATATTTAATTATTCATTACTCAGCATTTTTGAGGTATCAATAATGGATCAGTTCAGCTACAATGACACGATTCTTTCTTTTGTAGAAAAATTAATAAAAAATCATATTTTCTATTACTATGAAAAGAATTCATTGTCTGTTTTACATAACCATATCAATACAAATTTTTAAAAAAAAAAGTTTTTGAGTTTTAAAGAACCTAATGGATAACCATTTTGATAATTTTTTCGATTTTTATTAATGATTGAATTAAAATCAACTCATTATTATCATGAAACTTTACGACAAATATTCATCTTCATTTCCAAATGTACTCAAAGTATTTGAGAATAAAAACGGTACTGGGTTCGAGTCTCAAAGTGAACATCAACTCTTAGATACAGGTACATCCAGCTGACGAATCTTAAATAGGACGAAATGCGTGTCATGGATTCCACTGCTAGCTACTATCCATCTCTGCTTATAAAGTCATTAAGTCATAAAATTGTTTTTCAAATGAGAAAGTTTGTTATGTTTCATTAAAACTACATTTTTTTAAAAGTCCATTAAAAAGTTACTAATCCCTTTTCTGTAATTTTGTTTTTCTCTAATGAAGCAAAATCTCACAGCTGATCAACCAATAATACGCAATGGTAGATCACAAGAAACTAATTCAACTTCCTATGTTTTTTCTACACCATGTTTAAGCGTTAATAATTCAACTTATGATGGACAGACTAGTAATAAAGCCAATAAGTTTTTCCTTGATGTTTATAATAGAAGGATTATAAATCCCTTAAGAAATAAAAAATTACTACATCCTACTACTGCTACTACTGTATCAAGACGACGTCATCTTTCGCATAATTTAACTCCAAGTATTCCAACTATTGTAGAAGATCAAGAATTAACTAAATCTAGTGGTAATAATAAACTTCATGTTAATTTAGCTGGTCAAGATTTTAGTTCTGCCATAACTGTTGCAAATTTGGGACGTGATAAACGTCGAATATCTGTGGATCCAAATTTAATCAATTCAAGTCTTATTCATAGTTCTATTGCAAGTGTATTAACTACTTATCATCCACAAAAATTAGAACTTCGAAAAATGGATTCTAAACCTGTTCTAGTTGCACTACCTCATGAATCTATCACTATTGAAGATTATTCAAGACCTCTTTATCGAAGTGATATATTTTTCAGGTAATTAACCTAGTAGTTTATAAATATTATTTAAATGTTACTTTGTAAAAATGTATTATTTGGTGTAAACAAGATTTTTATTTTAATATAATATCCTGTTATTAGTCCATTATGATAGATAACATCATTTTGGTTTGACAGAGCCACATAAAAACATGTCTTATATTATTTAGTCTCATTTTTTAAAAAAAGTCATCAGGAGTACTAGTTAAAGTACATTGAGTTCATTATTTTTTGGCTTGTCATATATCAATAATGTTTTATTAGGTTGGTTGTTACTAAAAGCTCGTTATGTAAGTTCTTCAGTTTTGTTTGGAGCAAGAATGGTAACTATAGTTCAGTTTCTATTATGTGTGATCGATAAACAAACCCACCAATTACATTATGAAATATTTACCACCTTGACTCTATCTGAACTTGGTGTGATTTTATGCTTTGTTTGTTTACCAACCAAAAACTTGCACATTTTTTTTATAAACCAGACTAATCTTCATTGACTTATTTGTGTTCTCTAGTTACTAATCCATATACAGCATATTTTTCGCCCCCTTTCTCCATTTAATCGGTCGTATTGATTTCTGTTTTTGGCACTAGTCGTATTTATTCATTTTAGAATCATTGAGTTTTAAAAGCCAAATGACTGACTTATTTTCAACTTTAGACAGAGTAAAACACTATGATCGATAGCCTAGGGACTTGTTTGGAGAATTCATCTGTAGATAATTAAATTCTCCAGTTTCGTTCGCTCTTTATCTTCTAATTAATCTTCAGTTTCACTCCTTTAATTTTTTGTCTATCGTATTTTTGATATTTAGATTTCCTTTGGATCCGATACTAGTTTTCTTGTGTTTTCGTCTTGCTAGTTTCCTTATTCATTGTGCTCAACTTGCATTAATAAGCATTCATACCTCTTGGATTCTGTATCAATTATGACTAGCTGACTCAGTTCGAAGATAATTTTTACTACAAATTATCATCGAATTGAGAACTAAAAAATCAAGAAGTATAAAACAGTTAGTTGTTTTGTCTTAATTTAGAACTTCTACAGTGTTGATATCAGTTTCTAATGATAAGTAAGAACTAAATATATTGTATTCTCTATAAAAAAATCAACTTATTTAACGAGAAATTTATTTTTTTGTGTGGATAATAAGCAAAAGAATAGCATTCATCTGTGTCTCAAGCTGTTACTTCTTATTTATCGATCAGTTAAATAAATTTATTCTTATTCATAAGAGTTTGTGTTCTCCATTTGCTTATATTCGTTATTGGGTGTGGTCAGTTTCTGTCAACATATAGGACTCGTTAACTGGATCCTTTATTTGTTTAGTACACCTGCGTCTCAATGTTGATGTTCACACTTAGACTCACTAACTTAGTGGATTATAACATATGTTAACGTTCGAATCACTAAGTACTGGGTTAACGTTTCGTGAACATCAACACTGGGATACAGGTATATCTAGATAACTAACCCCATAATAGGATGAAACACACTTTTTGAATTGTTTTGCTGTACAATATCAAATATGCATAACTAAGTAGATTCCACATACAATCTAGGTCATCATGAAAATTAAACATCTCTATGGTGAGAGAAAGAAAAAACAGAAATTTAACATAAATTAAACTAGTAACTAGCTATTTGTATAGATTCCAACTAAATCAATCATAATAACTTCGATCTTTTATTAATTAATGTCATATGGTAGCGAACAAGAACACAAGTGGGGACAATCGAACGTATCTGACAGGAAATTACAGAACTTATTAATAAAATCTAACAATCATATAGTAAATGCTTAATTTGCAAAATATCCATCAATTGTCTTAAAATGATTCAGACTTCATTGTTCTTGCATTTTCATACAAATTACATTCTATTTCCATTCTTTACTGTTCGGTCCTCTTGTCTCTCTGCTACCAGATATTCTGTTCCTGACCAACATCATAAACTACTTGTGTCGATATAAGTAGCATACAACAATATAGCCAATTTCTTTCTAGAAAAATGAAAAACTAAAGCCGAAATATCATAAATATTTCACTATACATTCTATTCTCAATTCGATATTAAGTTATTATGATCTATAGCAATGAAAATCCATAAAATCAAGTAATGCTTTTAAAATATCTCAGTACAGATGACAGTCAATTATGTAATACAGATAATAACATGGTAATACTTTAACAATTCATTTAAAATAAGGAGAAATATCGGGTATTTACTAGAAGTTTTCCTGATAATGTTGAAATGAATGAATAAGATATAAAAAAGAAAACATATCACTTATTGTGTATAGTCTATATGACCTTACGATGGAATGAAAAATTTTTCATTTGAATAAAGTGATATTTGAAACTCATTAACGAATGAGAGAGAGAAAAAGAAACAACTCATTTGAAGAAACAAATCATGATGTAACTAAACCCGATAAAAGAAAATAATAATTTGAATAAAAATGAATGATTTCTTATGTAATGACCTTGACATCAATCTTTTAAAAACTAAAATAAGATTATATGCATATATTTAGTAAAGAAAAATATGAGAAAAAATTTTAACTATTATTCCTTGATAAACATTTTCTCCTTAACTAGTTTATTGATTTATTAAGGTAATTTAAACAAAAACGTTTAGAAGTAAAAATGGATAGTGGCTAGTATATTGGAATTTAGGACGCGAGTTTCGTCCTATTTGAGACTCATCAGTTGGATGTACCTGTAACCCAGAGTTGATGTTCACCCTTGGACTCGAACCCAGTACCGTGAAGTTATATTCGCTTGGTGTTGTTTACTTGTATCTTCCTAAATAACAACAACGCCAAGTGAAAACAACGTCTAGAATTTAATTGAATTGTTAGTAGAGATTATGTCAGAAGGGGTTGTGTGGATATTGTAGTAATTTCAAGGGTTGAGATCATGAATCAATTGAAGCCAGACCACCATGGAAAACCTGGAAGCACTGGACGGCCGTTTTTTCCCTAATATTGTACTCCTCAGCAGTGCGCATCAACGATCCCGTCTTGAGGGTTTCGAACCCAGAACCCATCGGTCTCGCACGCGAACACTTAATCTCTAGACTACTGAGCCGGCATCCAACGATGTTAATATCTAACTTCAACCAATGCACGATATTGCGCGACCGTCCATTATTGTCTTCAGTGAGTAACGGCCTCACAGCAGACACGGTCGAACTCCGCTGGCCACGGCTTCTCACTAGAACTCCAGGGAATCTATCTTGAAGCCAGTCATTGGTGAGCATATGTTGATTAGTATCAGAAGGGGTTTCCCACGGCGGTCTAGCTTCAATTGACTCATGATCTAAACCATTCAAAATAGATATTATGTTGGTTAAAGGCTGACAATTACTGGAACTAGGATACGGGACACGTCTATAAAGATGATGACTACTTTTAATTGAAATATATGGTAATGTGTAGACTATATGCATAGTATTCTCCAGATGTTACCAATCAAGGGTTGGATAGAACCAATCGAATAGAGGATTATCTATCATAATCACTATTTAACTTTTTTTTCTTTTAAATCCTTATTTCCTTCCTCTTACACACATATGTCATAAATAAATATTTCACCATCTTTTTCATTTTCTAATACTTTTATCTTCTTTCTTCTGCTTCAGATTTTGTCAAGTTTAACTAGTTCATTTTGTTTGACTAGATATCATTATTTTTATCTTTGTTTACCTATTGTGGATTTCCTGTTAAAATTAAGGTGAATGCATGATAGATAATAGAGGAAAGAAATATGGTGAAATATTGTTCAGTGGTGTTCACTACGACTGCCCTCTTTGTGCATTTTTTATTTGATTTTATCACATATATGCTTTCAGGAAAAAGCACTTTCATTTTACGTTTTAGGAATTTGACTCCTTGCTAGAAGACTCACTTGTCAATTTAAAGTATGAAGGTAATTTAGTTTTGTCTGACATGTGCAAAGTTTCCTAAACCTTTTGAATAATAATCTAATAATTTTAGGATGCGTTTCTGTCTTTCTGCCCCCTTAATAATGAAATGTTGCTTCAGGGATTAGTTTGAGTCTATCCCTAGTTTGACCATAATAAGTCTGGTAACCGATCTCTTTAACTTCTTCAATTAGCTGGGAAGTTTCTACTGCACAACAATTTGCTCTTTGCTTTGTTCTTTAGCTGTGAAGTATGGCTTATTAATGTTTAAGCTCAAGTTAAATGGTAATTTGATTAGTGGGACGATAAATAGTTTTTCACTGAGATGGTTAGGACTTGTGTTGCACATATGCCATGCCATTACATAATCTGTTGAGCAACTCTGACTGATTTTCGAGCAAGTAATTAAAAATTTATTGGTGTTAAATCAAGATGTAGCATAAATTCACCAATTTATTGACTACTGTTTTGATCCGTATTGTTATGTTCAGAGTTCCTCGTTGAAGCCCACAAAACAGTGGTCATCCTCAGTTGGAGACGTATGGTGATGTCCCGAAAAGTAGTACCATTCATTTCTTATCTTATTTAGTTAATTTTAATTCGTCTCATTTATCTATAGAGCTGGATTTTTCAGGTGTTTTCAAAATTTCCGCTGTTTACATTAACTACTTATAAGTACTAAAGTTTATTGACTGAAAACTCTGGGATTTCGATAACTGACCGAATTTCATGCCACTTTGAGATTAGGACGGACTTTCTGTTTTCTTCCTTTTCTTCTTTTGTGAATGTGGTGCCATCGCAAATGTTTTTAATTATTTCATCAGTATTATAGTTTTCTTCCCAGTATAAGAAATATATCATCAAGTTTGGTTTCATTATTAGTAGATCTGTACCCTCGAGCTTTTGCATCACAGGTTCCGCGATCAGTCCTAACGTAAAGGATCCCACTGAAGTTTTTTTTGATATTTCTACAAATCTGATTGTTTTCATAAGATGTAGTCGAGTCCCTGAGTGAACGTAAACTATGAGGTAGAGGTATATCCAGATGACTGGTTTTAAATAGGACTGCTAGTCACCATCCAAATCTGTCTAAGATGCTTGAGACTTAATGACAATATCGAGGCAATCTGCAAAGGATGGAAATGTGAAAAAAGAAACTAGTTAATTGCTATCCTAAACATCAATGGAAAGAGTCAAATAATCAGTACAAATGAATTAAAAATTCATCTTTAGGAAATACACTATTATTCAAAGTTATTAGGTTATAATTCTACATTTGAATCTAAAAATTGTTAAGAAGAGTGATAACCAACTGATTAAAGCGTTCCGTTTTCAACTATTAGTTCAAAATTATATATATATATATATTTGGTTTATGGAGGCAGGTAGTTCCATTATTTCTCGCTCAACAAAAGTATCGTTCTTAGTTAAGCATACTAACTTGTATTTGGTGATGAACATGGATCAAACTTATTATTGATTGTATTTCTTTTCAGTAACTGTAAGCAAAAGAATGAATGTCTATGTGTCCATCAGATATTTATCAGTGGCGAGACACATTGGCCTTTAGAAGTATAAACTGATGCGAATTCTACGGAATTACCCAAAATTTGTGAGATAAACGTTATTGATACGTTTTTTTCAACCGAATATGATAAGTTAAATCGAAACTAGGTTTCTGGTTGCTTATCATCCATCTATTGTTCAGGCAAAAAAATGACTTAAAATAATGCGCTTAATCCACTCAGTGGATATTATGCTCCCACTTTTATGTTATTTAGTTTAATTTATCGACGAATCAATCAGATTTAAGATAGTGAGAGTTGAATTTTGATGCAAAATTCGTTTATCCATACGGCTAAATGATATTTCAGCATTGTAGCTGATATCAGATCGTGATAAAAACCCTAACTCCAATCTTTAACCCTGAATTCTAACTATAAATCTTAATCCTAATTCCTCACACTAACTTATAACCTCATTTCGATCCTTATCGTCGCTTTAATATCATACATATGTCGTCCATAAATTACATTCTCACATTTTCCCTCAAAACTTGTAGAATAACTTTGAATATTGGTGATATCTGAACAGTAAAACCTATTCTTCTAGCTGCCTACAGTTTGTTAGAACACTTTTAGTAAGCAGATGCTCTCTTTTAGAATACCTTACATAAAACTTTTCAGCTGGTCAAAAGTACTGAAAACAATTTGATTATTATATCTGTAGCCCACATACAAATTTAATCATTTTCGTGGTGCATATGAAATATTAACAGGACTACATAACGTAAAATAATAAATTGTAAATGAAAAAAAAGATATACTAATCCAAATATTAAGTGACACAGTAGTGAAGATTCGAAGATTCTGACAGAATACAGCATATTTGCTTAATTAGCATGGAGTTTATCAAAAAAAATATGTATGGATGCTTGTTTACAACAACAGTGTACCTACTTTGTATCAATTTTATTTCAACATCTGTGATATCGAATGTCATCATGAACACTAGATTTCTAATAAGCGAGGGTAACTACTCTATTTCTAAGGATCGTTTTATGAGAAAATTTGTTCTCCGTTGTTTGCTTCTCTGTTTTGTCGTGTTATTTCATATCTTCTGAATGAGTTTTCGATAGTGAAAATGGAACATTTCAGTCTTTTGAATCGATTTATTGATAAAATAGTCGGGCTAGTTTTTTTAATCTGTCCAACTTCAAAGTTTACTTTTAATGTCATTTCATCGATCCCCTAAATGATAACTTCTTGTCCGAACATTTGGGTGGTTGACTAAAGTGAGTTAAATTTTAAACAATTTTTCTTCACAATTAATATCAGCTGAGAAAGTAGGTAAATAAGAGGAGTATATCATTAAATATTTATTTGATTTAAGTTGAAAATGTACTCTTTACTCTTCCTATTCGATATTTTAGAACCATCATCCTTGTCTTATAATGTCATCGAAGATCCTGGGTTCGTGAATTTTCATTGATGAGGATTTCCATAATGAAATGAAACAGCTGTTCAGTGCTTCCTGTCACTCCACCATACAGAACTACGAAATTCGGCGATCTCCACAATCTCCTATAGTAGAATGTTAATTAAAATAGCCTACTGAACAGAATCTGAAAGATTATGTTGTTTTGATTATGTTAATGTCTACCTTTTTCCTTAAAATATGAAAGAAACATATATATATATATATATATATATATATATATATATATATATATATATATATATATATATATATATATATATATATATATATATGCATACGTTCGTCCTCTAATGGCTTACTAGAAATCATTTGTTACTTATCAACTTCTTTTTCTGTTTATTTCAGAGGTAATCCAATGCCACAAATACCTAATGAATATTATTCAACAATTACTAAAATGAAATCAACTGGAGATGTTGATAGAAAAGTGCAAAACAAATTAAATGATATATATCGTATGACTAATTCATGTTTAACAGTTCCGTTAAATGATACTATCGATCATAGTCATGTTGATGGTTCTTATGGTACACTTAGTGATGGTGATGAACATGAGTCAGGATTTTGTAAGTCACAATCTAACTGGATAGAATCAATGATTGTCTCATTAACTAGTATACCTTTACCAAATGATGACCATAGAGGTCTTCTGTTACCATCAGCTAAACAGAGTTTAAATGAAAAACTACATAAAAGTTTTCCTGATTATGATAGTAGAATTCATGATGAAACCGGTGGTGATGGTAATGTTCGTCATGAAACCTATGCTGATGATGTTGATCATGGCGACGATGATAATACTGATCATGCTAGTGTAATGGATGATATTTGTTTATGTGGTTTTTGTCTAACTGGTATTCGACGCCTCCGTGATTGTCGTTCATGTTCTTCATTGTTTTATTCACAAAAATTACCGGATTGTTGCCCGTGTTTTCTCGTTAAACAAAAACAAATCTATAAACGTGTAAATAAAGAATTTCCTAATCAACATGAAGCTGATATTATGGATGAGTTAAATATAAATGATTTTAATGATTTATCCAAAGTTACAAGATACACTCGTCTTATTCAATGCTGTAAATGTGTTTCTTTAAAACCTATACTGGATGTATTAGGCACTATGTTAGACTTATCATTATTATTCAAACCCAAATATTTAATACTGTGGATTTCTAATTTAATTGGTTTATTGGGTAAGTTACATAATTTGTATTTTGTGTACACCTTTTTTGAACTGAATAATTTCTAAGAGATGATATTATTAATTTCAGTGGTTGAGATCATGAGTCAGTCGAAGCTAGACCACCATGGAAAACCTGGAAGCACTGGATTATTATTTATTTATTTATTTATTTGAACACATAAATATTGGTACAGGGGGGCACCAAATATATATGCGCCACACAAAACAATGATAATTTGAAGAGAAGGAGAAAAAAAAGCAATGAACGTGGGGGATTATAAAAAGAGAGAGAGAGAAAAAAACAATAATGGGGAAAACGGAAAAGTACAATCATAACAAATCTTTCAGTTAAGGAAGATACAACCACTTTTTATGAAGAAAGTAAAAGGAGGTTACAGCAGGATCGCCACTGGCTTCTATTCTGAGCCATATCTCATAACGTCTCTAGCCACTGTGTTACACCGTCTTTCGGACGCCAAACAGGGAGTCGTGAAGGACCAACAGAAGCTAGCCCTTTGCAGCTTTCTTTCATGCCACGACACCATGTCATATACTGACCACCTCTCCGCTTTTTCCAACCAGTCCCAGAGTCGGCAAATAATGCACGATGAGGAATTCTCTGGGACGACATTCGTAGAACATGTCCAAGCCACCGAAGTCGGTGTTTTAAGATGGTGAAACCAATGGAATTATCGTCTCTGTGCCCGAATACACGATGCCGAACCTCTGCATTACTAACATGGTGTTGCCACTCGGTGTCAGCAATTCTTCGGAGACAGCGGTGATCGAACACAGAGAGTCGTCTAACATCCTCAACTCGGAGAGGCCAGGTTTCACAAGCATAGATAAAAACTGCTCTCACCGTCGCGTTGTAGATCCGACCTTTTACAGCCAGACTAACATCACGAAGGCGCCAAAGATGACCCAGATTGGCATAAGCCGCTCTGGCTTCCACTATACGTGCATTGATCTCATCACTCACACCACCACCAGCACTTATGCAGCTACCTAGATACACGAACTTCTTGACTACTTCAATCTGCTCACCATCCAGAGTGAGTACAGGATTAGAATCCTGCCAGTCTTGTAGAAGAACTTTGCACTTCGAAGGTGCAAAGCACATACCATACCTACGGACACTGATTGCCAACTGATTAAGTGCAGACTGCATAGCTTGAACATAACCGACTGTTAATGGGGATCCAGTTGACTAGTGCTGCCTCAGCTCTTGCGCTTAGTGCGACACCAACGCCAGCAAGACCAGACGAAGATGCCACAGGGTCCCCGGATAAACGCACATAAAACAAGCTTTTTGAAGCGACAGATGGAGAGCGAACTTGTAGTACTTCACCAGAGTCTTGAATACGGGTCTCGGATAGACAACACACATCAATATTAAGACTTTCCAAAGACATAGCCAGCCCTATCTGTTATCCGACCTGCATAAGTGTGCGAACGTTGAAGGCAGCCAGTTTGAATGGTGCACGTGGTTTCAGAAAAACTGCTTCAGTACTCATATTCGGTGGTAACATACAATTTTCAACCAGGCAGTGACTCGAGTACGTTTAGATAAAGCTGAATTTTCACCATAGGTGAGCTGCTGTCTAGGTCGAAATGGATACATAAAGTAGGAATAAGAGAGGGTGAATAAATGACGTGGTAGAGTAATAATAATAATAGTACGAGTTATTTCAGTGTTAATCAGATAGAAAGGAATATTTTCCATAAGCAAATTGTTCATCATCATGGTTTTAGTGCGTGGGCTGAGATACTGCCCGGGTGCCCAAACCGAAGCAGGTGGTTTTCTTAGGGGGCCACACCCCGAGCCTTTGACCCAAGGGTCTAGTCCACAAGGCAGTGGAGCATTGTGGGGGAGATGCGGGCCCATGGAAGCCGGTGACCAAAAGTTGGTTCATACGCCATTTGTTCCTGCAGGATACTGGAGCCCATGTGCACCATATAATTGGGATCCGGTTATAGCGCCGGACGTTCGCTTTTCGTCCTCTCATTTTCGTAAACAACACCCCCGCCACAAGAAGGCAGTGAGTAGGACTTCCCTGGCAGAGGCTGTATACGCGTGGCCGTGTGAGAGTATTTCGAGAGGGAGGGCGAACCCTCCCCGCTCTCGACCATACCAGGGCATTTTGGGGCGGAAGCACTAGATGGTCTGGCTTCAACTGACTTATGATCTCAACCATTGAAATTACTATAATATCCACAAAAACCCTATTGATATTATTAGCTTAAGCTTATATCAAGTCAACAATGTTTCAAACTATCATGGAATCATTATTTAATACTCCATTATGTTCAATAGTTCTCAAGTTAACTCCTTTCATAAGTGAAATATATCATTATTGTATATCTTTATGTAAAAATTCAACAAGGTTGAAATGTAAATTTCTGCCATTTGATAACCATAAAATTATCAGTGTCTTCAATCAATTATCATATAAAAAACCTAAAACCTTGAACATATATTGTCACACTCTATATCACAATGAGCGGGAATCAATACTTTGAAAAAAATGGTATTAGTGGGAATCTGAACGTATAGAATCTAGTTCAAAAAAAGGCAACTAAAACCGAAGAGTGAAAATTATGCATTAATATTAAGACACAAGATTTATGCAAGTAAATGAATAGGGATGTGATTTTGCTACTGAAGCCTGTTTATGGTGATGACACCCAAATTGTCCAACTTCGTGATATAACTGTAGGTTATAGCCTACAGTTATCTTATGAAGTCATATCAAGAAGTCTGCACCTGAGTGTGTGTGGGTCGAACGGTAACTTTATGAATTGATTGTATGTCTTGAGTTCGCTACCCTTAGCCTTTTTTTCTCAAATTACTCATGCCAACTACCATGGTATATCAACCTTCTTTTAAGTTATTTTTTGAAGTTCAATAAGTTGTAGGCTCTGTCTTTGAAACGCTATTATCACTATAACCTTTAGTGGCCCGTGATCCGACTCCAATTGGATCTTATGTTGATCGCTATTCAAATATACATATCGTCTTTCCTCATATATAATTACCGATCTAATCCGCGTTAGTGAATAATTGAATTAAATAAGTCAAATAAGAGAATGCATGTTTAAATACGTATATTTTGTACAACCGTTGGTTGGAACGGACAATCAGAGAATCGCAGCGAACAAAGTGAAGAAGATAGAGCGAAGCGAAACGAAAGAACACACAGTGGAGAAGGCATATAAGCTAATTCCATTTAATCAAGCCTTAATCAATATTTATAGCCAAATAAAAAATAAATTACAAACATATGATAGATAGGATAAGAAGTGTACATTCTACCCTCACATAAAAACAGTCAGGGTTGATAAGGGAATAATTAACAAGGTTAAAACGTGACTCAAGAAGAATGGATAAATTGGCCTGTCAAGAAACTAGAATAAGGTATGTAGGCTTAACATAGTAATCGACTCTACAAACCATGTAACAGATTTTTAAAATTCTTTTATTCTTTTAAAACAGACACATTCAATACCGTATCAACGTATTGTATTGACAATTAAGCTAATTATACACTAGCTAAGATACATTTGTCATTAATAAAAATTTACTATTTGTCTTAAATCATTCATCAGTGATCAGTCAGTTCATTGAAAATCAATGATTACTTAAATGAATTTCTTAATGTAATTATTATCACTTTCTTTCAGTAATTGAGATCATGAGTCAATTGAAACTAGACCACCATGGAAAACCTGGAAGCATTGGACGGCCGTTTTGCCCTATTATGGGACTCCACCGCAGTGCACATCCACGAGCCCGCTTCACGGGATTCGAACTCAGGGCTTATCAGTCTCGTCCAGTGCTTCCAGGTTTTCCATGATGGTCTAGCTTCAATTGACTCATGATCTCATCTATTGAAATTACTACAATCTCCACAAAATCCCTTCTGATACTTATCACTTTCTATTTACTTATCGGCGTCCGATAATAGTGGTCTTCCTTGATTTAAAAGCAGCGTTTGACTCTGTTGACCGAGAGGTTCTGTGGCAGTGTCTGTCATTGAAAGGCGTACCTCAGAAGTACATAAACCTTGTGAAGGCTCTTTACTCGAACACTACTAGTCGAGTCAGAGCTTATGGCGAACTGTCATCTGCTTTTGCAACCTCATGTGGTGTCCGTCAAGGCTGTCCACTTTCTCCATTTTTGTTTAACTTCATCATAGATTTACTGATGGAAATAACGCTCTCATCGACTGAATTCTCAGGTATTGATCTCCTATCAGGAGGTCCATTTATTGATTTAGAATACGTAGATGACATAGTCCTGTTTGGTGAAGACGCTGATGAAATGCAGAGTTTTTTGATAGCACTGAGCAACAATGCCGGAATGTTTGGGATGCGCTTCTCTTCCTCTAAATGCAAGTTGTTGCTTCAGGACTGGTTTGCGTCAAAACCTGAACTAAGGATAGGGAGTGAAGTCGTCGAACGCGTTGACAACTTCACTTATCTTGGGAGTCTGATCAGCCCTAATGGGTTGGTGTCTGACGAAATCTCAGCACGGACTCGAAAAGCTCGTTTGGCCTTTGCCAACTTACGTCATCTATGGCGAAGGCGAGATATCCGTCTATCAATTAAGGGACGAGTAGTTCGTTCCGTTCTACTATACGGCTGCAAAACATGGCCTTTGAGAGTAGAAGATATTCGTAAGTTACTAGTACTTGACCACAGGTGCCTTAGAAATATTGCGGGTATCTGCTGGGATCACCGGGTAAGTAATAGTGAGGTTAGACGCAGGGTACTAGGGAATGATGGTAAATCAGTTGATGAGGTTATAAATCTTCATCGACTGAGATGGTTGGGCCACGTGTGGCGTATGCCTGAACACCGATTACCACGACCCGCAATGCTGACTAGTGTAGGGGATAATTGGAAGAAAGTTAGGGACGGCCAAACCAAAACGTGGCATCAGTGCTTGAAGTCACTAACTTCTGGTCTGAGCCATGTTGGATGATTCAGACTGCCTGGTTGGGGTCCGCGTGACTATCGTAACCAATGGTTGGAGACTCTTGGTGACATGACTCAGAATCGATCACAATAGCGTATGTGTATACACTCTCTGTCTTCCTTAAATTAAGAGATTAAATTCGCTTCATATCTTTCTAGGAACTAATTCTTTTTTCCTGTACTATCTCCTTATACACAATCTTTCTTTTATATATTACCACCACTGAATTAACTACTTCTATGAATCCGGTGTTCATCTTGTTGTGCTAATGCGGTATGGCAACTTGGACCGATGCATATACGTGCCTGGTCCTACGTTGCAGCTGACTGACTGATTTACTTATTTATTTAACATTTCAATACCATTATTTTATACTATGAACTGTTAATTAAATCGATATTATTATTATTGTTTTTTATATTTTCATTACTTTCAAATGTACGACCTAATATTGATTGGTTTTGTACAAAATAATCGATCAAGGTATGTATGTTCCATTGATTTATGTTAGTGATTTCGCGTCAGTTTATGGCATATCTACTAAACTGTCATCTTATTTTTTATCGATTATGGGTGAGTACTTTTTAAAAATGTTTTATCTGTTAACTACAATATAATTTACTTTTATCTCTCATAATATCTCCATATATTATTACATAATTAATCACTGACTACTGTCTAAGGCTGATCGAAATAATATTAGATTGAAGAAAATCTTATTTTAATCCGACGAAACTATAAAACTAATTGTACAGAAAACTCCAGAAATCAATAAAGAAGAATTTAATAATGAGACAGTACATTTAAAATATCATGAAAAATGACAGTAATCACTATAGCTGTTGCGTAATTATCCTATACATTTATTCACGAGATCGTAAGGAAATTTTGTATGTTTTAGATATGATTTTCATCCCTAATTAATATTAATTTGGAGAACTAATTGTTACGTTGCCATTTGAAGTTCTTGAGTAGTGAACACTTACCATACTTTACACGAGATTGTGTTCTCTGAGACTTAAAGGTCTTAAGTTCTATTTTGTAGAAGATTATAGGCTTCCACTGTTAAGTAAATTCAAACCATGATACAAGAAGTATCAAATCCTCTCTGACTTGACATCAGCTAATATATGTTAATCATGAAAATCACCTTTAAAATTAAACATAGTTAACATCATGCAAGTTATGTATTTCATGTTCATGTCATCACATCCCTGACCTGTGATGATTGTATAAAGTTATCATTACCGAATGAAATAAACTTAAGCTTACATAAATAAACTATGATAATAATTCATTTCACAAATTAATGCTCGTCTTAGTTAAACTGCGCAAAATATGAATTAAGTTATTTGTTTTCGTTTGGTGTTACTTCCTATTAAGTAAGAAAAAAATTCTTTTACCGATATGAGTATATATATATATATACTCTTAAGAATGGATGGATAGTTTCTGGATGCTGAATCGTAGTAAATATCTATTAATCCCTGGGTTACTTACTATATTATGAATGTACTGTAAATTTATTACAAGCAACACTTTTCTCTACATTCAATTGATATAGATCTCTTATCATAAGTAAAAAAGAGTTGTAATTCATAAACGATTCACACCACTGACTAATATGAACTGGAGTAACATTGTAAAATCAAACTTGGTTAGTGACTTCTCGTAAGTACTCACTGAAACATGATGATCGCGGAACTCTATCTCGTTTAAGTTCGTAGATGTTTGGCTCTGATATAAATTATCAAATTCAGACAAGACACCTATTTATTGCTACCCGGTTTTCTGTAATTCTTAATTTCATATTTATTAATTGATGGAAACCTCCTTCAAGCTATAAGCCTCTCAAAATCATCTATCTCGATTCATTGGAGCCCAAATAATCTAGTGATGATGTCATTAAATGAAACATTGGGTAACCTGAATGTGAATTCCATAGATAGCGTGAATTTTCTTTACCAAGATTACAGGTATACCTTGAAACTATCTATCTAATTAAACTTTAGTTTAAAATAATTTCATTCTGAGTATTCGATATTGCATGGAAAAAAGTTCTGTTTATTTCGAATATATGAAATTATATTGAACTGTGAAAATTTAATATTCATTATGTTAAATATTCCATATATATATATATATATATATATATATATATATATATATATATATATATATATATATATATATATATATATATATATATATATATATATATATATATATAAATTCGTTTACTTATTATGTAATAGGTGTTTCAAGTATTATTGGACGATTACTTGTTGCGTGGTTAAGCAGTTTATCATTTGTTTCTCCATTAATTTTACAATCTATTACACAATTTTTACTTGGATTACTTGTATGTTTAATGCCTGTTTTTACAACGTTTGTCGGTATGGCTACTTCATTTGGATTCTACGGTTTTTTAAGTGGTACGTTATAAAATTATTCATATTTTCTAAAGAAGAAAAAAAGACGTTTCTTTATTTGTGTGTGTTACTATATTCTTGTTAGTTTTATTTTTGTAATACAAGATTAGTTTTTCAGTATAAAATGCTATGAAATATTAATTAATTGAACATTGATCATACTTGCTTATACCTTAAATAATCTATTTCAACTTAGTTGACTAGATTTATTTCTCGATGGGGAACGTTTGCCAAGAATTTTATTAAGTCAGTCAGTTACAATGTAGGACCAGGCACATATATGCATCGGTCCAAGTTGCCACATCTGATTAGCACAGCAAGATGAACACCGGATTCATAGAAGCAGTTAACTCAGTGGTGTAATATATAAAGGAAATATTTTATGTAAGGATATAGTACAGAAAGAAAGATATAAAGCCATTTTAATCTCACAGCTTAAGGGTCGACATAGAGTGTATATACCTACGCCATTGTGATTGATTCAGAGCCATGTCACCGAGTCTCCAATCATTGGTTACGTTAGTCTCACGGACCCCAACCAAGTAGTCTGAATTTACCAATATGGCTAAGGCTAGACTGATGTCACGTTTTGGTTTAGCCTCCCCTAAAGTTCTTCCAACCATCCTCAACACTAGTTAGCATTGTGCGTCGTGGCAATTAGTGTTCAGACATACGTAATACGTGACCCAACCATCTCAGTCTATGAAGATTTACAACCTCATCAACTGATTTACCATCATTCCCTAATACCTTACGTCTAACCTCACTATTACTTATTATTAAGTAAATTTGAGCTTTACAATATCTGAAACAAGGTATCTAATAAACATATACAGGTTGTTGTAAACTATTTTTTATTTTATTTAATACTATAATAAGTAATATTTCTCTAAAAATGAAAAATCATATTCTTCAAATCGAAACATTTTATAAATTCAACATTTAACATTTAAAAATAGATCTTTATAAGAGAAATAATAAGATCTGAATTTTATTGAAGAAAGAGAATTAGTTTCTTTAAGTCTTTTTGTTGATTGGTTTTAAACGCTTTGTTATATTATTTTCTCTTTTTGTCAAGGTGTATTTTCCACTCTTAGTACAATTATATTATATGATTTAGTTGGAATGGATGAACTTACTACAGCTGTTGGTTTAATAACATTAAGTCGTGGTATATCCAGTGTATTGGGTGCTCCATTAGCTGGTATGTTAATTTCATCTTTGATTTGTAAGATATTCTCAGAAATTTTGAAATATGTATGATTGAAAAATACTTTCTATTCATTTGTCGTTGAAGTAAGTGTTCTTTAATGTCAAGTCGATTACTTTAATGACGTTAGAGTGAACTTCAGCAATAAAATTTTATCAGTTTTGACTAGGCTACATAGTACTACTTACTTACTTGCTCCTGGAGCATAGGCCGCCAACCAGAATTCTCCAATCTACACTGTTCTGGGCCTTCCTTTCTAGTTCTATCCAATTTTTGTTTATTCCTCTCATGTCTGTCTCTGTTTCTCGGAATAATGTGTTCTTTGGTCTACATCTTCTCCTTTAGCCTTGAGGATTTCAAGTGAAGGCTTGCCTTGTAACTCAGTTGGGTGCTTTCTTCAATATGTGTTCTATTCACTTCCAGTGCTTCTTCCTGATTTCTTCCTCTGCTGGGATCTGGTTTGTTCTCCCCCACAGTAGGTTGTTACTAATAGTGTCTGGCCAACGTATCCGAAGTATTTTGCGTAGGCAACTGTTAATAAACATTTGCATCTTCTGGATGATGGCTTTCTTAGTTCTCCAAGTTTCCGTCCCATACTATGTAGCCAAGCAGACTACATAGTACTACCCAGTAATTGATAAATATGAACACATTGAAATGTGTGGTTATAATTAATGGTTTTCAGTTGCTTACTGTTTTGAGAATTCATAACAATATCTTCCAAAACTGAGGTATGCAGACCTGGGTTAAAACCAGTGTTACAGTATTTTTATTATTATTACTCGTTAATAGCTAATGGCGAAATATTCTTAAGTCAATCTCCATTAAGGATTATTAAATCTACTATCGTATGTGACACGAATGTATCATCATGAATACTTTAACCTTGGATGACTACGTGCGCAACTTGGTAACCATTTGTGTACTCAGCTTTAGGATCACTTTCTTTATATAAGGACTAGAGATGTTATTTCAGTTTGAGAAAACAAGTAGCTTTACCAACCCTTACAATACAATTAGTTTATATATTTTTTATATTTCATGAAATTAATTGTACAATTTTACGCAGAAATATAAACAGATACAATATGAAATAGACTGTAACATAATCATAGGAGCCATTTGTGTTTCAAAATAACACTCACTATACAATATATCTAGTCATTTAGCATTCATAAAGAAAATGTATTATTTTTATTTCTTAAATTTCTAGATCATTAAGCAAACACTTGATTCCATTTATTGTGTTTAACAATAAAACAAACACACAATATAATTTTTTTAAAAGTAATACATCTTAATCGATTGAAATGACTGAATAAATACTTTAATACCCTTTAATTTTAAATAGAAACAATGTTTATTTTAACACGATATGGTTGCTAAGATATTTTAAAATTATTCCAATTAAGAAATGTGTTCAAATCCTAGTTTCAAGAAATTCTATTGTATTTTGATTAATAACAAATATATCGGGTAACGGGAAGCATAAAACGCTCTAAACTGATGACCTTAGTATGGAAACAGCATTTAAAAAATGAAATATAAGAGGAGATTCATTTCAAGATAACAAATTATTACTTTGTGTCATTCTGTAAGATGTATTTTGTCTTCCATGATATTTTGATCATAAAAGAGAAATGTTATCATGAAATACAAGACATATATGTAATTTCAAGATATTTCTTTTTCATAGACTCACAGTATTATTGATAGGTGTTAATTGTGGATATACAATTATTTTTATGCATACTACTGCTCTCATTATTTTCAAGACATTCACTTGATGACGAAGATGGGCAATATGAGAAACTGTAACCTCCATGCAGTCAACCAAGTCTGAGATGAGAGTAAATCAGTAATTTATTGATGAGATTGAAATATGTGTTGAACTATATTGCAAATAATGTTGACTGATATTCAAAGTATTGATCAGTAGTAGTGATATCAGGCTATTGTGCTTGATATTAGACTTGAAGGTCTTAAGTCCCGATCCCTTGTGGAGGTGACATTACATATCATTAGAGTCCAAAACTATTGTGAAATAAATACTCAATGTTTATTTATCTTCAGTATATAATGAAGATTACTTTCAAAAATTAAACATAATAAACAACACCTCAATCATATATATGTGATATTTTATAATATTTAAATCAGACAATATTTTTACGTCTGAAATTTTTTACATCATTCATGACACTTAAACACTTGTTAGTTGGAAAATAAGTTTCTTGCTTATTTTTACTTTACAACCATCCTAACTTTTTTCAATGTGGAATAAATTCATCACCAATTTAGACTATTCATTTTGATATCAAAACGATCTAAAGGATTTATTTTGAAATGGGTCATTTTGACAAATAAATATTTCAGACTTACTTACTCACGCCTGTTACACCTCGTGGAGGAGCATAGGCCTCTCACCAGCATCTTTCATCCAATTCTGTCCTAGGCACTCCTTTCCAGTTTTATTCATACTTTTGATGTATGTTTCCAATTCTCGATGCAGTGTGTTCTTTGGCCTACTTCTTTTCCATTTCCACTCGTATTGAAGATTCTGACTCTGATGTTAACTTGTTCCATATGTTTTCTAACCGTAGGAATGCGGCCTTTGATTTGACAATACTTGCCTTCACGTCTGCGTCACATCCACGTTCATCGATGATGCTACCCAGATGTGTGAAAGATTCCACACCTTCCAAGGTTTCTCCATCAAGTGTGATTGGGTTGGTGTTGTATTTGAGGATCTTGCTTTTTCCCAGGTGTATGTTGATACCCACTGATGCAGAGGCTACTGCTACATTGTTTGTCTTGACATGAATTGGTTCGTGTGTTTGAGATGGAAGGGCCAGGTCAAAATCGTCGAGTTGATTTCGAGTTGTCCATTTTATGCAGTGCTTTGCGTCACATGTCGAGGTCTTCATAATCCAATCAACCACCAGATGAAAGGGAACGCGTTAGCGTAGACAGCCTTGTTTGTTCCTCACTTGGAGTGCATCTGTCAGCTGTCCTCCATGCGCCACTTTGCAGTGTAGTCTGGTGTATGAATTCCTCATGCTATTGATGATCTTCTCAGGGTTCCATAATGTTTTCGTGTCCACACTGTCAAATGATTACTAGTAGTCAAGCAAGTTTATGTATCGTGACGAGTTCCATTCAACTGATTGTTCAACGATGATCATCCATAGTGTCGCGATTTGGTCTGTGCACGACTGATCATTACGGAATCCGTCCTGTTGATCTCGAAGTTGGTTGTGTACTGAGTCTTGCATCTGGTTCAGCAACACTGTTGAGGTGTCCTTCTTTCCAGTCTGTCGGTGACACTTGTTTTTCCTCCCAAATCTTCCTCAATAGAATGTGGAGCATGTTTGCAGTTAGTGCAGTGTTTGACTTCAGAGCTTCAGGTGATATATTGTCAGGTGCTACTGCTTTCCCACTCTTGATATGTCTGGTAGTCATCTGGTGGAGTGATATCTATAGGAAGGTCTGTGTGTGCTGCTTCGATATCCGTTGTGTTCAATGGAGCTGGCTTACTCAAGAGTTCCTCGAATTGTTCTATCCATCTGTTCCTGTGTTCTTGAATTTCAGTAATTGTCTTGTCTTCTTTGTCCTTGATCGATCTCTCTGTTTTACTATACTTTCCTGCCAGTTTATTCGTTGTGTCATGTAACTGTCTGATATTTCCTTCTGTTAGAGCTTTTCCCGCTGTCCTTGCGAGCTCTTCCACGTATTTCTGCTTGTCGGCTTTAATGCTCCTCTTCACTCTTTTGTTTGTTTCTGTGTATTCAACTTTGCCTTGACTTTCTCTGTTTTTGTTCAGCTGTTGTTAAGCGGTGTCTTTTTGTTCTTCCTCTCTTAAATCTTGGTCAGGTTACCGATGGAGATCCATTCCTTATGGTAATGGTTCTTGAGGCTGAGTGTCTTCTGACACGTTGAAGTTAATACTTCTTTGATGCCTTTCCAGTTGTCCTCCATAGTTGTTTCCTATTCGTTGAATAGATCTTGTAAGGCTTCCAACCTGTTGTTGAGAGCTATGCTGAATTCGTTGAGTTTGCCAGTCACATATTCTCACCACATATATATGTTTTCATTGCGGAAGTCGATGAACTTGAGTATTGGTGCACGGAAGTCGAAACCACATGGGACTAGTATACCCTATATGCGTGCCGGTGACAGGTTTTCATCCCATAGCTCACATATAGGCATATTAGCTCTTTTTTTATGATCAGCAATCCCTTTTTTCGTATTCTCTACACCTTACACGTTATATGAATACCGGAGGAACATAAACTTACGTTGATGCACATCGTAGCATACACTTAGTCAGAAGCACTCTTAGATATAGGGTATACTGTCTTTTTCTATCTCTGCCTATGGCACTTATACGGTATATATACATCAGAAGTACATAGAATTACGTCCACGCACATTATGACACACATAGACGTGAGCACTTCAAAGAGAGGGCTGGTAGTCAACTCTTCCGTCATACTTATTTGCCATACCTCATACATCGCATTCATATCAGAGATCGCAACTATTCTACCCCCCGTATAATACATAGGGTATCGTCTGGCGTCATAAGCTTCGACCAATTATGCATAGACTTGCAAGTTTAGTAGAAAATAACCTTAACTTCTATTAGTCCAGAACGTATACCCTTTTTCTAATATCAGCTTTGGGTCCAAAAAGAGGATAGCATTCAATCTTCTACAATTATGTTTCAGCCACCCAGTATATTGATATCAATCACCAGTTAGTTTATGCACATGAGTTATGAGGCTAGACTGCATCCCAAATATGTTTTACATACAGTCGTGGGATAAGCGATAGAGAACGGAGCAAACAGTGGATACTTAATTGCCAATAATTAATAAATAGGAGAACGTATAACAATAATTAATAAATCCAACGGAAGCTCACAATGTCAGGAATGCAGAGACATAATAAATTCTTTTAACAATAATAATCCGGAAAATAGTTACAAAAGTTCTAATTCCCATCATACTCGTTGCGTTACAACAGGTTGGTTAATTGATAAATTTGTTAC